TACCAGATTATAATCAGAGTGGCGTTATAATTTCCGCTCACCCCTTCCAAGAGGGGGGCGGGGTTTGTGACACTGCGTGGGCTTACCTGGCCAGGTGCTACCCACCTTGCTACAGGGTGGCCATTGCTCCGCCCCCATCTCAGCAGGCCAATGGGCTGCCAGCTGGGGGTGGGGCGAGGGCCGGTGCTCTTCGGCCCAGACTCACTTTGATTTCTTTCCAGGTTCACCTGCTCAACCCTCCCTAAAATATAACATGGTCTTCTTTTGCATGCTAACCTCTTGCTTCCTAGGTCAGCGGGCGCTGCTATGGTCATAAGATGGTTGCTGTATTCAGAACCAGGAAGTAATTTCCCTGCATTGGCAGGTTTTGCCTTCCCCATTGCGATTCGTCACAACTTTGGCGGTTTTAGGCCTTGGGCAGTATTCTATAGTCTGTCCGTGAGTCGGGGGCAGCATACTGATGTACCCCCATACGGCAGTGTTTGCAGGGCCCGTTAGAGGGTTGATTGTGGGAGTCACTGGCCCTAGAGCGGCGGCATAGAGGCCAAACTCCCGGCTTTGGTGAAGTGGGAGGGCACGCTGTGTAAGTTCACACTTTACAGTCCCCTCCCACAACACCTGACTGCCCTCTGCATCCGCAGCCCCTGTGGGGTATGAGAGGGATACCTTCCAAGGCCTAAGCCAAGGTTCCTACACCTGAATTTAATAAAGTTGTGGCCTAATTTAAACCCATACATGGGTGTCATGTCTCATTTATGGGTGGTGGGCTCCAAGGACAGGGTTTAGTGCATGGGCTTGCAAGAATGCTCTGCTTTATACATATTTCTAGATCATGCATGGTTGGGAAAGGCAAAGGTGTTGTCTCTTAAGATAATCTTTCAAAAGGTACATTTGGTTTGGAGGGTCACATTGTGTTAGCCTGCTATAGCCCTGCAAACATGATCCGAGGGGAACCAGCTATCTATTCTGAGCCCTCTTCAGGTGTTCCTTTAAAGCAAACCATTCACATTGTATAGAGGAGGAAACAGGGATGTGTGCCCTTGGGTCTCCAGCACCCTTTATGAGTTGGAGAGCCACTATCTACGGTGGGGAGCATCCTCTACCTGTAGGATTCCAGCGTGTTTTAGTACCATTGGTTGGTATTCCATTAAGTGTTACTCAGAGGAAATCCAATTAGTGTTGCCGTATTTTGAAGAGCAGAAAAGAGGACACACTTGCCAACTTCTGCTTTTAACTATGGATCGCTATGACAACTTTACCCATGAAAATGAGGATGTGTCTTGGAAAAAGATGGCAGCCCTATGATGGGCCTAACTTAGTCATTATCATTAAGTTCAGTGAGTCTACTCTGAGAAAAACTTACTTGAATACCACCCCATGGATTTTACTTGATGAGAAGGGATTCCATATCACAGTCCTCCAACTTGTGGAGGGTGACAAGGGGATGGAGTGAGCATGCTCATCCCTTCTTCCTCGTCCATACAATATTAATCCCACGGATAAAATAACACCTCATGTGTTATCTGATGTACTTGTTTTTTATGACTGTCTTTAGAGCTTTATCCAATGTGTCATCTTTTTCTGTAATTTTAAATGTTTAATCTGTTAACAATGCTGTTCTACAGTTTCAAAGAACGTTTGTGATATTGAATGATTCATTTTAGTGTCTTCTTTTTAAAAAAAATACTATTTGAAGTATGTAGAAATGTTTTTATTAATTTCACATGACGAAAACAAAATCATAAACAAAACGGGTTTTAAGTTCCTTTATTTCTACCATCACTTTTGTTCAAATTTGGGTTGGTGAGGTAAGTAGTTTGGGGCTTTATGGTGCATCAGCATTCTAGGCCAAGTGTTCCATATCTGGGAGCTGTAAAATCATCTTGCCTCATCTGATCCCAGCTGTCACATGGAGACATATAATAAATATCTCCTGAAATCAGCCATTTGATAGAAATCTTCCTATCAGTTTGACAGGCAGTTTGATCAACATAGTGTCAAGGATCATTAAGTGATACAATTTGCTTAACCTGCATTTAATATCACAATAATTCATCAGTTTAGATCTTTTAAATTATCCAGACAGGGATTGCACTGGCAAAACAGCAGCCACGTTTAGCAATACACAAACGCTGAGCAGGAGAAACTGCCCCTGAGTTGTAAGGACTTACTAGCATCTATTGCCTCTTTCTTCCCACCCACCTTAATATTTTATTGTCTTTTCTAATGCTGCAGTAAAGATTGTATCCTCCTTAGGGTTGGGTCCCCTTACACTTTACTCTCAAGTGTGCATTGTACTCTAACTGGATCTGTGTACATTGATGGCACCAATGGAAAATCCACATCTATGGGAAACCTGTCCTATGGAAGTCTATTGTAGGCCCTGGCCTGATGCTGCTTGCATCATCTGTATCCTGTGTGATATTTAGTCAAGACTTTTCTGTTTACCAAGGTGCTGGGGAGATTCTCACTAATGCCAACCTTTTCACTTAATGTACTGCTGCTGTTATTATATTGCTGCTCCCGCTATATTAATCACCCCATCTCCAGAAAGGAGGCACAAGACGCCTATGCATGGTGTGAATGAAGTCAACATTTCATTAGAAACTGTGAATCATCATCCTACTCATCTCTCCAGTGGAAGTTCCTGATGCTTACTTGAGACTTAAGGAAACTGATGCTTCCAGCTGCCTGTCAGGTTAAGCTTGGACCACAGACGAAGGCCAGTAACCCATGCTATTTGTTATGTATTCAGTGGTCTGTGTTTGCCTGAGCTTGAGTCTGGACTGAGGGTTCTGAGCCCCTATGTTCTGATTCGATACATGATATCCAATCACAGAACATTTCAGGATTTGGGCCTCTGCCACTGGCCCTTAAACTCTGAGTCATGATTCGCAGCTTCGAAGTTTAGAAAGCCAATCGCGTTGGGAGTGGGAGTGGCCCAGGCCTTCAGAAATGTATACAAGCAGTAGCTTTGCCTCTGCTGTCCAGCTCTTTAGTTCAATAAAGGTTCTTGTACCCTCCAACATTTATTCAATGAAAATAGGGACATCCTAAGGAAAAGCAGGACATTCCGGGATCAAATCAGAAACTGGGACGGCTTCTCTAAATCAGGGAGAGCCCTGGAAGATAGGGACACTAGGAGGGTATGAACCAATTGCCCTAAGGCAATGTATCTCTAGTTCACATCATGCTTGCATTTCCTCTGTCCAGAATGACTTTTCACCTATTTAAAGTTATTTGTGCTTTTATTCTCATCATAGCCACTTTTTCTATACATTTCTATCTGAGATTGACACTTCTTGACTTTCCTTCCTCTGCCTCCTGTGATCTGAATGTGGGGAGGATTATAATTTGCATATCAGTTTCAAATGAATTAGTGTACTGTACTGTAATGTATTGCCTGTGGGGAAGCAGTCCAGTGCAATACCTAAAGCCATTAAATATATTTAATCAATTTACCCCCATGTATCAGAGCCTTGTGGACCAGCAAAGTATTAGAATATATGTAATTGTATCAGTCACAACATTGCAGTAACTTTACTTCAAGAAATAGTTCTTTTTTATATTTTATTATTATTAAAGATGTTCATGAAATACAAAAGAATGTGCAATATCTCTTTCTTTTTGTACAGGTTATAAAGTTTTTTTTGTTACATTCAGTGTAAGACAATATGGTATCCCAGAGGTAGGGGGAGAGAGTAGAGGGGAAAGGTTGGGTGATAAACTTGCACACAATTTTCCCCCTTCAATTTGATATATTTGTTTGATTAATACTAAAGGAGTGTGCTGCAAAACTTTCTGCTTCCACTAAAATTTGTCAGAGGTTTTGCCTGAGGAGCAACCCCCAAACTCTCTAGAAATTTTGCTTTAAGTAAAATGTGGTGACAGCCTAAAATTCAGCAGAACTCCCCTCAAAAATGGTGCCTAGTTTTATCGAAATTATCTTGGCTAACTCAGGGTATGAGTTAGCTAAGACACATAAGGTTATCACCCTGCTAAACAGGCCTGAATCTGGTCATTCCTGGATGGGTGACCACAATGTCACCTTGGGTTCCATGATAGAATAAAGGTTGGATATAAATGTAATAAAGTAAAATAAATAACCTTGGAATTCCTCTGCTATTTTATTTCAGCAATAACCTTCCAAATTTGCTTCATTTTTTTTCCTTTAAGAAAACTGTTGGTAGCAAGTATTTCTGAAAAGAAAAAAAATGAAGTTTCTCTCAGCTTCTTGATGCTATCATGCTGATGAAATCCTTAAAAGGGAGCATTTTATAAATATTTCCTTTCCTAGTCAGGAAGAATACAATGACTAATTCTATTTTTTTAATTAAAAAAAAAAACACCAATGACAGTTGGAGGAAATCACCCACGTGCTTCAGATGGCAAAACTGAAGTGGATTTAACACAATCTAGTTAAATGTTTTGGCTTCTGCTTTTCTCAGTAACTGAGCTGGGCTTTCAAATGAATGCTGAGAGATCTGGTGGCAATTTTAAGAATGCCCAGAATTTAATGATTTTAATGAGTGCCTCATCTGCAAGAGATTTATTTTTGTATTTGAGGGGAAATAGGGCATATAAGTGTCAGGTTAAAAGCATCAGCCATTAGGGTACTGAACCTATAGATCCAGAGGTTTGCTCTTGATCTCTGATAATGCTTCCTGTTTGGATGATTGACGATAGAGATCGGCTTGTGAGTGTGTGAAGAAACTAGCCTACTTCACACAGGTAAAATGTGCATTTGCTACTTCTGCCTCTGACTCCACCAGCCACTGGCGTGTGGCCCCTAGAAGGTTGCTTCAAAATGCCTTTTTATCCTAGCAACTACACGGGCAACTGACATGAAAGGTTTCCCCATCTTAGGGAGAAAGTAATGCCTTTGTGACATCATCTGCAGGCATTACACCGCTCCCCACCAATGGACAAGAATTCTGAGATGTGGGGATTGGTGCATTGGCTAGTGATGTCACAAAGGCAGTACTTTCTCCAAGCACAACCGCTGGAGCAGGCTAGAGCTGAGCCCGACTGAAGGGAGGACAGGAAGGATGCAGAAGTCTGAAGTAAGGATGAAGGTGAGCCGGGGGACAGAGGAAATGTCTCGCTAAGGGGCTGAGAGCAGGGATCAGAAGAAAGAAAGATGGGATGAAGTCAGCTGAGAAAGGAGGGCTAGGGAACTGAGGGTACCTGTCCTGCTCAGCCTCAGTCCACCTTTCCATATGAATTCTCAAAATTTGGGAATTCATAAATAATATCCCTGAAGACACAATAGAAAATGTTTCCAAGTCATAAAGGATATGGCTAACAGAACTGAAATGTTTTGAAACACATTGTTTGTTTGCTCTTTGGAGGAGAGGACCAGATGGCTGGTTGTGGTTTTTAAATTGTGTGTTGTGTCTCCCCCCCCCCCCCATGTATCAGCTGTGGCACCCAACATTCTTTCATTCAGTAATATTGTATCACATTGTGAGACGTGCAGCTGATGGTCTGTTTAATAAAATCATTTCTTTCCAGTTCTCCTTTTAAAGGTAGCTGTTTATCGTGGGTTTATCATGCATGTCATACAGCAACCAGATTCTCAATGATGCCAACCGCAGAGGGTTGACGAGTGTTTCAGTTCAGCTCCCACACAATAACCTTCAAAGATATGAAAGCTGGTAGAAAGCAGATAAAATAGACACACTGGTAGATTTTGCAAAGTCTTCTGAATTGGCTACCAATGGATAGCTCTCCCAGAAAGCCAGTGAAATTTGAGAGCTGCTGCGTGGAAGTATAACCCTGTGATTCCTGCATTGCAGGGGATTCGACTAGATGACCCTCAGGGTCCCTACCAACACTATGATTCTATGAAACATAATTCTTTGAGGACATTGTTCTTGTGTCTGTGAGAAAGAGACGCTTCGGGAAACATATATCTAGTAGATACTTGCAATCAGTGAAATGTAGAGGGCATCTTTTCTGCAGAAAGTGTTCTGTGAGTTTGCTGGTTTCTCTGATTTAGTTGTCATGGTTGTTGCAATTCTGAAAGCCAAATAACAGACGGTGGCCTGATTCGCATGTCATGTCAAGCCAAACCATGGCATAGTGCAAATGCACAAATGTGCAGGCTTCAGGAAATCCTGGCCACGTCACTCTTCCCCAGTCAATTTGCTGCTGCACTGAGCTAAGGCATAGAATCATAACATTGTAGAGTTGGAAGGTATCTCCACATGTCATGTGGTTCAGCCCCTTGCTCTGCAGGAATCTCAACTAAAGCATCCATGACAGATGGCTATGGTTTGACTTAACATGTTGCCTAGACAAGAGCTCATTGTTTAGCCCTCCTAGACAAATCAGAAACCATAGGATAGACCTTGCTTTCAGCACATGGTTAGTCTGGAGAGAGGTAAACCACAAGCCTGGGTTTAGAATAGCCAATACCACCATTTGGAGGAGGGCCTGATCCGTTTGGGGCAGAAGTTGCTGCTCTGTGTCAGTGCTGAGACCTGCAGCAGATGGCATTGACAATGCATCGTGTTCTGCTCAATTTATTAGCTGGCTTGGGAAGTTTCTGGCACACTGCACGCCATACCACCAGACTGGTAAGTTAGATGCTTAAGGGAAGAGTTGGCAATATTACCAGCCTCTCCCATTTTGTAAACCTTCAACGTCTTCCCCAGATTATTTTGAAAATTATACACATTTTCCACCGCGCTCTTCAGAAGATGCCTTTTATCAACATTCAAATGATCTTTAAATAGCCCGTTTTTATAGGTATTATTTTAAGAGGCTGGAATTTATGCAACCAACATGTTGGCAATGAAATTTCTGCCACCTGTTTTCCCTACAAGCGGATCAAAACATCCACTTTGGCTTGCAATTATCCACTTCCATTTACTTTCTTGTATGTCATAATTCTTCCGTTTGCGTTCCCAGTAATAGTGAGGAATCAGATATTTCCGACTACTGAAAAGCCATGCAAAAACACCGAACAAAGAGAAACTACCAGCCAATTAGACCAAATTAGAGCAGTAAAATGTGCATATTTTACAACACACTGAAGTGTAACAGCCTCCGTTTTAGCCTGTTGTTACGGTATAAACTGATTTCACCCAAGCACTACCTGCAAACATGGGGCTACCACTCCTTAAATAAATTTACATGAACAGATCATATAAAACAATCCGTTGATTGATGAAATATACCTCTGAATAAAAATAATGGCTATGAAGAAAGGAAGCATGCTTTAAATTATATGCACGGAAATGCACACATACAAAAAACAATTCCGAAGAAAGAAAATATACTTTTAAAAGATGTTCAGATAGCTCAGCAGGCATCACCCTCTACTCTTTGAGCCAGGAGGAGTTCTTTTAATGTTGCATTTTATGAATATTGTTAACCACCCTGGGGTCTCATGATAGGAAGCTTGTGAGAAAAGGAATAAGATAAATACTAAATAAATTAATAAATCTGTAACGTGGCAGCTTTCCTCTGTGGTTGTTGTAAGTACTTGGATAGATGCCCCCCCTTAAATGCCCAATTAATTGGGAAGTCTTTTTAATTTATCGTAAGTTCTTGAACTAATTAATCTAATGACTCAATCAGCCATTAGAACAATTTAATGGTTCAATCAGAACCCTAATGCAAATGATATATATATATATATATATATATATATATATATATATATATATAAAATAGACCTGAGATGGAAGGTCCTTTTCCTATGCTTTATATCCTTGGCTGGCAACTCCTTTTAAAAAGGGACACATTTTGCACTGGGCAAATGCTGATTATTTATTTCTTGAATTTACATCCTGCCCTTCCTCCTGAAAGATCTCAGGAACATTGCCTGCGCCCACTAACTCACTTCTACCCAAGCAGAGATGCAGGCAAAGGACTCTTTAATCTCCTCTCTTTTCTGATGTTAATAGCAATACAGACGCTTCAGGTTACAGACTCCGCTAACCCAGAAATAGTACCTCGGGTTAAGAACTTTGCTTCAGGATGAGAACAGAAATCGCCCGGCAGCGGTGCAGCAGCAGCGGGAGGGCCCATTAGCTAAAGTGATACCTCGGGTTAAGAACTGTTTCAGGTTAAGAACAGACCTCCAGAACGAATTAAGTTCTTAACCCGAGGTACCACTGTAGAGCCTTTGGCAGATCCTTTCCTTTAGGCACTCCAGTTCCTCGCTCACTATCACTTCCTGGGGACCAAGTGTATTCACGTGGGAATGGCTGTAGATTGTGTGCTTTGCATACAAGCAATCCCAGGTACAGTTCCCATTATATCCAGGTAGGACTGGGAGATATCCTTGTCTGAAGAGCCACTGCCACTTAATGAAGACAGTACTGATCTAGATAAACCAGTGGACTGATTCGATTTGAGACAGCTTCTGGTGTTCCTTTGAGTCGTCAGCAGAGCCATGTAGAAAGAGAACATGTGACTAATGTACAACCTGGGATCTTGCGGCATTGGACAGAAAGCCCTTGTGTCATAAAGCCAAGCCGATGTCTGAGGAATGTATGCACCATCTAGTCAAGAAAAGAGAGAACTTCATATGACTAGGCCTGCGAACTCTGACCCTGACATTAAGCAGAAATGCTACCTGCCATTGGTAGATATTAGGACATTGCATAATGGTGCCAGGTCACAAATTACAGAGTAAGGGAGGCTACGATGAAGAGAAAGACTCAGAGCACTCCTGTTCTTGTCTTCTTTCGTTCTTTCTTTTTTGAATTTATATACCGCCCTATACCCAGAGGTCTCAGAGATTAAAATCAAAATATGAAAGCACAAAAGACATAACCAAAATAAAAACAGCAACAATCCAATACCCACACCCCGCAAAAAAACCCCACATTTTAAAAGGGCATAGGATGCCAATCAAATTAACCAAAGGGTTAAAAGGGGACATTTTTGCCTAAAGGTGTATAATGAAGGCGCCAGGCAAACTTTCCTGGGGAGAGCATTCCACAGATGGGGAGCCACTGCAAGGAAGGCCCATTCTTGTGGTGCCACCCTCCAGACCTCTTGTGCTGTTGTTTCTGGTAATAAACATATCTATAATGCACACACTCGGACCTACCATTTCTAATGTGGAACGTGAATCAACAAAATTGTTATGTTCCCAAAAGAGACGGATCTGTTGGAGTTAAACCTGGTGTCTCTCCAGGGTTAGCCAAAGACCTTGTTTGCCCCAGGCTTTCCAGTATGACACTGAAGCCGGGTGATGTTGTTTACCCATTGTACAAGATTCTGTCCATTGTTATAGTACTTGATATTCCTTTTATGGTTTTTTATGAGCTGTCCTGGCAGTTTTATAAGCCATAGGGTGGCACATAAATACTTTAAACAAGCAAACAAATACATTTTTGCTTTCAGCTGCAGTCCATTACATCACTGCTGGGAATCTGCTGGCCCTGATAAGTATTATTTTGGGGGGCAGGAGCCTCCCTCCCAAAAAATCCAAATATACAGGGGAAAAAACTTTTTAGGTATCGCTCTAAGGATTTAAGCTGTTAACGGTCATATATCATTCTGTCATAGTAACAAGAATGCTGGCAGAGGAGGCAGAAGACATTAAACTGTTAGATGAGCTCTTGACTTCATTGTATGCTTAACTCAGTAATGTTTGCTGTTTTCCTTTTTTGCCTGTATGATTCCTTTTTCTTTAGAGCTTATTTGTGTTCCCAATCACATGGTCAAATGTCATATTGCGACACACTCAAGAAGTATTTTTTTCAAGCTTGTACATGATTCTTAAAAGAGTAAAGCTGAAGTTCTAAAGGATTTAGGTTTTTCTTTTTAATCCATTTGCAAAATCGTACAAAACCCAGCCCTTGGAGTATGTCAGGGATTGTACTGACAGAGGAGGAGGAATGGTGGAGGTCTCTCCCTGCTTCTCCTGTAGCTTCCAGAGAGGAGAAATGCAGTCTCAAATTGCAGCAGGGCTTTGAGGAAGATGACAACTCAGACTGGCAAACAGCAGAGTTTGCAGTGTAAGGAGGAGGGGAGGCAAATCAGCTAGCTGACATGTCACTGGACAGCATAACCAGCCCCCCTCAAAAAACGTGGTGTTCATTAAGGGGGCAAGAACAAAGACCGCAGAGACAATTGGCCACAGACAGACGTCATAGAAGCAGGTGTTGTTGCTAGAGAGGGAAGGGGGAGGAGCTCAGTGTGAGCAATGCCACCATTGAGGAACGACCATATTTATTTGTCTTTTACCGTGATGTCTGAATAAACCATAGTAAGAACTTTCATGTTTCATCCTTGCTTCTTGGTGCCGTCGGGGGAGGGAGAGAATTCCTCAAGCCTGACAGAGTACAAAGTAATTCAAGAGAGTTCAAGTGCATTCAAGCAGCACTTTGGCCTGGGTAGCTCCCTCCCAGTGGTCCTGGTTACCAGTAGTGCTGTGGAACTACTGTAGCATGGTGGCTACAAGCACAGTCTCCAATCGCAATCCTATTTCCCACTTAGCTGGGTGTAAGCCCCACTGAACTTTCTCATTACATGAACTTTATTACCTGTGGGCATGTATTGTAAGTAAATCCCATTGAGTTCAGTGGGGCTTACTTCCAGCTGCTTATGGAGACTGAGCTGTGAAACAGGAAGAGAAACCAGTTCATGTTTCCTCGCCACCCTAAATTGATGACCAGGGTGATCATGGGGATATTTCCCATTCTCACTCCACCACCCCACCATTGTGATTGTAAAGGTTCCTGGGATAATGTACGTGAAGAGATTTCAGCACTCTAAAGTGCCATGCAAATCATACCATTATCATCCTTAAGGGACCAGCGTGGTATAGAAGTGTCAGCTCTGGAACTCTGTAGAAATTTTGAAAAATAAACATTCTGAATGCATCCATTCCACTTCAGGAACAAGAGTAGAGTTCCAAAATCCAGTGAGGCATCTGGATGAGGAGAATTTTGGGAGCCTCTCTACTCCTAACTTGTCCACCACATGCCTAACCTCATTTTTAAAATTGCATACATTCTGTATTATGATTACCTCTCATACAAATGATTACTAGAGGAGGCCATTAAATTTTTCATTCTTTCTCCAAGTGCCAGAGTAAAAAATAGTTAAAGAAAGTTTCAAAGTTCAGCATCAGATTGCATATTCTCTATAGCTCCATCAAATGTTGAAATATTCACCCGTTTATATTAACTGTGACAGTATGTTCCATCTCTGGACAGCTTGCAGAACAACATCTTCCAGCAGCTGACAATGATTAAATAAACATTGTCAAAACATCATGTACTCTAAAAGGACTTTTTAAAGGATGGAGATGAGAAGAAATTGTTATGACTTTCTGAAAGAGAGAATTGTCTTACCAGTCAGTTATTTATAGAAACAGAAGTGCATGGAGACAGAAATGTATAGCCAGTTTTCAAGGTTCAAATGATTTAAAATTAGTTCCTTGATCCACCAAGTGAGGTCTGCACCCATACCAGGCTGTGAGTGAACTGGCTGGCTGTGCCATTCTGTGAAAGATGGAGATCCACTTGTATATCTTCATTCAGGACCACTATATGCTGCTCATGAAAAGAGTTGAATGGAAGTCATGGGCTGCAAGCTTTAATTGGTTTGATAGACTAATCAACTAAGAGTTTGGTTGATTATTCAGTCTGGACCCATTTTAAGTGGTAGGCTGGAGAACACTTGTGATTATTTTATTGTTTTTAAGACTGTTTTGGTTTGGGTGTGTTACTGTATGAAAAATGAAACCATTAAGAATGGCCTTTCCTTATAACAGTGAGAAACAGCTTTTTGTTTATTAAATGTCAAGTCCTCACACTTCCTTCAACATCTCAAAAGGGCATCTATAGTGAAGCTTTGGTAATATGCAAATTTATTTACATTTTAATTAATAAATCAGTTTTGAGCAAATAATTTATCAACTACATCGTTTTTAAAGTTGACAGCTCCAATAGGAACACAACTTCAGATATAATTAATTATGGCATTACTTGGACTTTGAGGGAAAGGTGTAAAGGATGTCATTGCC